ATCATCATCATCATTATTATCATTATTATTGTTTACTGTTAAGGCCATTTTACGTATTGAAACGAACCTCTGCAGGTCAATGATTTTCCATACTGAACACAACCATATAAAAATAATTTTTAAAAAATTTAAAAAGCGATGCAAAGAACACTGATTAAAAACTCAATGAGACTGGTAAAAAAAAAAAAATCAAACTTCCTCTTTTGCTTACCAATCATTAGTAAAATTGCTTCCACAAAAATAAATATAGCTGAAGAATGAAACTCTGAATTATTTATAACAAAATAACAAACCTGACAGTGACATTATTCTGCATGTGCATGTGCGTGGGTTTCTTAGTTTGTTTTTGAACGGGATCTGCAAGTCAAGTCTCAAAAAAACATTTTAAAAATCCCAGTGCAAGCTTCCTTCTTGTGTAGACACTGGATTGGGCACCCACCTTTGAAAACCGGGTGTTGATTACACCACTTATTTTCTCTATTAGATATTCAACCAGTCTGAAACTGTCACATATTTCAATTCTAATTATCTGCCAAGTTAAACTACACTTGTAAAACATGACATAAAAAGCTTACTGTAGTCCTTGTTGCATATTACGTTTTCTTTTCTTTTTTATTTTCACATCTGAGAGCTTCTGGGGAGGTTTTGCCACGTGCCGTACAGAAGAGCTGTCAGAGTCCATTGCATTTTGAGCGTCTGAGACATCTTCAGTGCTTGAGCTGATGCGTTTAGAGGGTCTACGATGCAGCGTTTTGGTTATGCTCCCTGAAGTCTCAGGTAATGATCGTTTCTTTGCAGAATTCTTCACACTGTCTATTAAATTCTGCAGTGCTTTTACAGGAGTGATGTTATTTGCACTAGCAAGTGACTCCACCGCTTGCAATACATTTTTAAGTTTCTCAGACTTATCCAACTTCTGATCCACAGAAGTCTGTGATTTTCGACGCTGGGGTGAGGTAAACACCTCACTCAATTGTACAGGCTCTCCTTCGAGCCCTTCTTCTCCAGGTTCACTGTCAGAACCCTCCCTGCTTTGCAACTGAGGCTTTTTATCATTGCTTTCCTTGCTAGATTTTCTAAGCTTCTTCCTCGGACTTTTTGCCGAGGCTGCTGTGTCTTTTGAAAGTTTCTGCTTAGCAGGTTTTTTTTTGGGAACTAAATGCTGAGCAGCTTTTGAAGCCGACTGCAAATACTTGGAAGACTTGAGATTCTTTTTTGGACTAACAGTCCGCTCTTGCTGATGCTTAGCTGAGGGCACAGGCGAATCCTTGCTTGGCATCTCCTTTGTTTCACGGTGCTCTGCATCAGGCGCTTTTCTTTTCAATCCAGACGGTGACAACAAAAGTTCTGCGGCTTTTGGTTTCCAGAACTTGCCCTTTTTCTGGTGTGAAGAGCCTTGAACAAGTGCATCCTTTCTAGTTATTCCTATCAATACACAAAACCCTTGGACGTTAGTATCTTTTACCCATTAAAACCTGAAGGAATGTTTTGACATTTCAACACATAAAAATAAAACCAAGGATCATTTTACAAAAAAAGTATCACAGAACCAAATTTTCCCCTGAAGGTTAAAAGAAGGCTTTCTCTAAACTGTAGTGTATGAAAAACTCAGAGCAGAACTTCTGATGTACTTCCAGTATTTCCTAGCAGAAAAATAAAAGGGGCAAAAATGTTACATTCAATCTGCTTTCCAGTTTTCACTGCTTCCTTTTACAAAACCTTTCTCAAATAATTCCTAAAAACTGATCCCTTCCAGTTCAAACCACATTACCTTAAAATCCTTTCTCTGGGGAGAGCACCAAAAGCTTGTGGGTACCTACCTTCTTTGCCTGCTCATAAGAAAAGGCAACACTGCTAACTTAATTTTTAAAGTCCTAACAGGAATGGCTAGGGGAATAAAAAAAACCAGCCAAGACAATAGGTCTCACTGCATCATATACACCCAAACCAAACTCCACAACCGAAACATCATTAGGAACCCATTAACATCTCTCATCTACCGTATTCTCATTTCCCAATAAACCACCATCAAAAAAAAATCCAGTGATACAACCTGGAAGAAGTACAAAGACCTGTTAAATAACTTACCCTTACGAGTACTGCTTTGCCTTGGAGATTTTAGGACCTTTCCTTCAGTGTTAGAGGAGACCATGTCCGATTCTGATGTTCTTTTGGAGTCCTGTACTTGGACATCCAAGTCACGCATTTTCTGTTTACTAAGTGCTTCAACCTCTACTTTTCTGTTCTTCCCTTTCTTACTCCCCGTCTTCACCTTTTCAGAGGGTTGAGATTTCAAAACAGAAGTTGCAGAGCCACCTTTTATTGACTTTTTGTTCTTGCGAGGTATTGAAAACCAAGAATGAACAGATACATCATCTGATTCATCAATTAAAAATTCACATTCGCTTTCTACTTCTATATCTTGATTTTTCACAGGAGGAGGTAACGGTGGTGATATGACAGCTGAATACCTAAAGAAAGGAGGGACGAGGTATTCAAATCATTTGGAGGAAAAAAAAAATGGAGTTTCAATCTTGCAAATCCAGTGGTGACTACAACACCTAAATGTGCTACAAGACATTCCTCAGAATAATTGTTATAAAGTCCATCGTTTATTGTCCTTTATCTTGCAAAAAAGAGTACAAGGCTTGCATTTCCTTTCTTTGGCCTCGCAGTCATACCTCATGATTTCTCAGATGCTGGATAGTCAACTTCCTACCTAAGTGGTCAGACCCATACCTGAAAAAGACTGCTCCATCACTGCTAACTTCGAAATCACAGAAGGTTTTCCTGAGTCCTCCACCCTACCTATCAAAACATCTCAGGCTCAATCTGAAATACCATTCAACAGCTACATACGATTCTACTGGCAGACAAAAGCAAAAGCCGTGTTAGATATTAATAGCATAAAACTTGCAAACAACTATTCAAGCCCTTTCTCAAGGTGTCAGTAATGATGGACTATCCCAAAACAATTGTCCCAGACCACATTTCTAGATACAAGGACATTGGTCCAGCACTCAGGACTAGGTTTTACTAGCAAAGTGTGTGCTATAGTAAGCCTTAAAACAAACCTTTTCCCAGGTATTCCTGTTGTTACAGCTGCTAGGGCAAGGGAAGAGAAAGACAAGTTCCCTTTCCGTACAGAAGACGCAGCACTATGTCCTGTTCCTTGTGCAACAACCTGCTCATCTCTCACAGATCGATGTTCTTCCAAATTTTGAACTTGCACGTGGCTCTTCACTGCAGCGGAAGCATTTTGGTCATCAAAATGTAACCTAGATATGAAAAACATTCACATACGATGCTGTAAATTCTGAGTGTATGTTAAAGTACTGTTTGGATGGACAGGTGCTCTCATTTTCTCCTGTTGACAGTGTCTCACTTGTTATGAATGAGCTTTCTTGGCCGTTTGCTGGAACACAGGGCAGTGGTACTACTTCCCAGCATAGCAGCAAGTGTCCAAATCAATAAAGCAACAGGGGGTCAGCTTGTGAATTTTGCACAAGACAAGTTTCTGATTTAAGGAGAATGTGCTTCAGAAATTGTGTTTCCCAGACCCTAGGTGTACTCTCTTCCCAGTCTCACTCCATCATGTGCCAATGAGACTGCTGCCAGCCCTCTTCTATCCCCTACCCTGGAGATTCAGTCCTCCAGGAAAGCAGATCAGTGGCTGGGACCACTGGCCACTATTGCAGCTGGGCTTCAAATTTTCCAAAGAGGAGATAATGACCACAACTGAAGTTGTTTTACTTCAGCAAACGTTTTGTTAACTTTTAAGGTCAACACTGTCAACAGGATTCACTGAAAAAGTCTGGACTATCTGAGAAGCTGATACTTTTCCTGCAAAAGAAGGAGTTCAACTCTATTCTGACAGGCTTTCTGCACTTGGGTACTGCAATTTTGGGAATTAACCAGAATATTTCATAAAAAACAATGCTGCCCTTTCTAAATCCAGATGTGGAAATCTTCTAAAAACTTTGGAATTTGACTGAAACCACCATGTTTAGTTTACCCTAAAGGCAGGGGGCAGGACGGGACCATCATGTTCAGCTCTACTTACACATGTTCAGGAGAACTTTTCACTTCCTCCACAAGAATGGGTGATCCAAAGGACTCATGATCATCCTCAGAGTCCAAAGGTTTGGCAGGACTGTTGTGCAGTGCCTCGACATCTTTTGATATATCTGTTTTTCTCTTAGATACAGGAGACTCTGTTGGTTTAGAATCAGCTACGTGATCGTGTGTTGCAGGCTTCAGAGGTGATTCAGGTGACCATCCTGCCATATATATTAAATAGGTTTATCTCCTCAAAACCGTACAAAATCCCAAGAAATAGTTACCCCAAAAAGCTTAATAATAGTGCTACCGACCTCTGCTGCTGACTGTTGTTGATGATGATGATGCAGCTGAAGACTCTACAGAATTACTGACTCTTTTCACGGAGTTAGTTAACCCTGCATTTGGCTGTCATGGTCGATAAAGAATAATGAGACAAAGTAAAATATTTGATAGAGCAACAGTATTTTGACAGAAACATAAATTTCTACAAAACACGGCATTATTTCCTTCCCTTAATCCTTACTCATGTGAAGCACAGTTCTACTTTAACAGAACGCTTCAATTTTCTATCATGTAGGACTTAAAAACTAACAGTAAAATTTAAAGAATGGGTACACTATGTACAGTAAAAATCAATCTGCAGCTTTGAACAGACATCCTGCCAGTCCACAAGCAAGCTATTTATTCTTTTCATTAGAATTAATTAATTTAACAATTTAATTCACCTTTATTTAGGCCAGGTTGAGGTTTTGCAAGAATTATTTTGAGATTATACTGTATTCTAACATCAGACTAAAGTAAAAAACCACCATGATAAAGGATGCTTGTTCTCAATGCTGCCGTTAATAGAATATCCTGTTTTTGCAAAAAGACAGTAGAACTAAAACATTAAAACTAAATATACCAACGAGACTCTTTGTATCATTCTGTCAGACAACACTTTATTAAGTCTTTCAACTTGTTTCCACTCTTTAACAAAGTTACAGATATATGAAGTTATTTTACAGGCAACAGCTGTTTATCTGGAGTTGACAAGTCACTTTTATACAAAAATCATCTTTCAATTTTGCTGTCCCTCTGATATCCAAAAACTGCATCTATGTATCTGGACAAGTGATTGAAACCAACCCCAACTGAGTCTGAAAGAGCCACTCCCACTTCCAGCACCTGCTTAAAGCAGAGCGCTTCAAGCTGAGACCATGAGAAATTTAACTCACCCTCTGGCTCTGGATTGAAGTCCTCTTCTCATTTCTGACAACGGGAGTTGAGAAACAGCTTGCATTTGGAGAGCTTACAGTAGTAAGATCAGCACTACAGCCTATAAAGAGAAAACTCTAAATAAAGGATTCTTGGAATTGGCCAGGTTTCATTTTGTTTAACAAGAAAGCAAGCAGCTACTCAGGGAAAATATTACCTCTAGAAGACAGTGAAGACACAGTTTTAAAGGGCTGGGAAAAGGGTGCATATAGACTGTGAGAAAGACTTTATTTTTACCCGTTTTTATCAATTTTATTTTTATTTTTTAATTTATATTTCTTTATCACTAAATATAATACAAGACAGAAATAGGTTTGTTTTTTTTCCTTTAACCAGCAAATTAAGCAAACCACTAAATAAAAGCTTACTTTCAAAACAGTCCTGTATGATTTTCAGCACATTTTGACCTGGTTGTACCTCGATCTTATTTCTAGAAAGAAAAAGGAAAAGAAATATATTTTCAATGAAAAAAGTAAGTGTTCATATCCCAGCAATGTAAGAGTATTACATTTCTTACTATTTAAGATTTTACATTATTATTTCCACAAGTCTCAAACTGAATATATTTTACCTACCATGTCCATGCACAGACACCTGCAAAGCTTGTCTAAATAAGGATTCCAGGAGAAAAAGCCCCACGATTACAGAACACGATGAGAACGAAGAAATACCTCTACATAAAAGAAAGCGTACAACTACTGCAACAGCCCTCAGCTAAACGAGGATGAATAGATTGTTTGAAATAATATTTTACAAAAATCAGTTCTCACGTTATATTGCCTGCAAAATGATCCTGTCCCAGTAGACCCAGAAATTAAAAGTGTAGGCTGCACATCTGCCCCTTCCTTCACACAAGGATTCACCCTCTGCTTCTCTTTCTACCACCTATCCACAGTTACTCTGTGCTTCTGCAAAAGCTTCAGCAGCCAGAATTGGCCTGAGGTATCAAATCTGTAAGCAAGTGAACAGCAAACCTGCTTGGATCACTGTTTCATAGCTCCCCAGGACAAATATAAATGGCAGAAGTGATCCACTTGCTGGACTGTGGTGATCAAAATCAAAGTAACAAGAGGAAAGCCCTGGAGTGTTTCTCCCATAACAAAAAGCTCACTGACTCCTGACATGCCTCTAAGGTAGGCCATAGCATTGCGAATACTCACCTGTAACAGTTACCAGCAAGGGCCAAATAATTCAAGCAGGATTTCACGTGGGCTTCATCTCTCCACCTCCCTAACAACAAAATGTTTGCCCAGACTAATATTTCTGTGCTCGGGCAGCTTAGGTACAGCTGCACCACAGTTTGCTGCCCCAGCGGAGAAATACATGGGAAATCCACGGTGCTTTATCCCCCAGCACAATTTTCTCCTCCCATCAAGAAATACAAGTTGTTTGGGAAACATCTTACAATCAGTTTGATAGGATACACCCAACAGTATTGGCATTAAGCTCTCAGATAAAAACCAACATAACTTTTCCAAACAATCGTATCCACGAATAAAATTTTAAATGTAAATTACCCTTCTCCACGGCAGAATCTTGCTCTGTACTCTTTTTTGAAAAGACTCTGTAAAGAAATAAGGATCAGTTTTCACTAAGCACATTGATACTTGATAGCAAAACAAATAAGCAACCAACTTCCTGCTTCTCACGTAAGCAAGTCTTGAGGATTCTCAACCCATCTGAAAGTAGCAGGAGTTACTGCAGTCATGTTTTTCTTAGAACCCTGCAGTAGCTACAACTCCTGTAACAACTACCAGAAATTCAACTTTCCTCGAGAATCATCAAGCTGCATTTAAAGTCAGATACACTTACAGGAGACATACATGACAGAAATCACAGAGAATGTAAGGAATTAGTTAACAATGCTGGGATGACCACAGAAATACTCTTCTAAGTAAGGAGAAGGAATGAACTACCACAGAAGCAAGTCAGGACATAACTTTTGAACACATCCATTGCTTTCTGAGAAGTGCTTACGCGGAGTCTTACACTGTGTTTGTCACAGGCGAGACTGTGTTGGGAGGCAATGAGAGCACATCAGCTCTTCCGCAGTAAACCTGGAGTCTTGATTAACTCCCAGCACTTGTTCATACACTTGAACCCCATGTATAAATTAAGTCATCAAATACCAGACACGGACTCTGGTCATCTATTACTGCAACTAGAGCAGTCATAATTCAAACAACAGTGTATTACCAGCATTACTCTATCAACAACTGAAACAAAGCCTGCTGAGCTGAGAACAGGCAAAGAGCGTAGAGGATAAAAACAGGAAGGAAGGGCAAGCCAATCAGAGCGCTAAGCAGAGTGCATTTTTTTCCCCATGTGACAAGAAAATGTTTCCAAAAAATATAAATGTTTGACTGAAAACTAGTAATGACCTCTTCATCATTTGTGTAAACTAGAATAGAGTGTATATGCAGCGTGGAGATTACTTACTCCTAACAGAAATCAGCACACTTTTCCTAAGTTTGCTGTACTGACAGTTCTTTACACTTCTTTGGGAATGCCTAAAAATAACCTAAACCTCATAACGATTTATTCCACTGAAAATTTTCAAGAGCAGCTTAAAACAGCAGGGAGAAACTCTAGGTCACGCAGAAAAAAGACTGACTAAAAGTCATCACTTCAGAAAGAGTGCAGAACCAATCACTCCAACTTAAACCTCTTCCCCTTGCAGCAGAGTGCAGTGAAATCAACCAGCAAGCAACCTTCTACATAAAACAATGAAAGATTCCTGTAATGAATCTAGAAGAGCTTTTAAGGGCTGGTTTTTTATTGCTAGACTCATATCCCGCCACACAAACAGCTTTTAAAATCCAAGCTCCCCACATATGTCAGACAGAGGAGGACAGGAGGAAGATGAGCACGTCTCTAGCAGGTCTAGACAAGAGGCACTGGGTGTTTAAACGCTGACCCGCCAAAGGAAG